GAGCAGAAATGATGGTGCTAGGAAACCTGGAGATGGAGCTTGACAGCCCAGAAAGTACTCTTGAATATTTCTTCTAATTTATGTAGGAAAGAGAAAAAAATTACAATGGAAAATCCTAAAGGAATAATCTCAAGATTAAAAGGGAAGTAATAAGCAGCTACAAATCTGAAATAAATAATTTAGATAATGTGACAGATAGTGGTAGAGAGGGTAAGATAAGAACTTAGGAAAATAAAGACTATTTCTGAGGGAGCTTTCTGCTCTGGAATTTTGATTGGAAGAAGCAAAGAGAGAAAATATTTTTGTTTTTGTTTCATTTTTTAAAACAAAATTGGCAATCCAGAAAAATAACTCCAAATTGTGTCTGCATTCCCTCTATTTTTACTGTTTTTCTGTTTTTACAATAAAGCAGATATAAAAGACTCTTAGGAAATGACTTTTGCAAGGTTAATTCTGAATAACAATTCAATAAACTTACTGTTATATTTAAAAAATAAGCACGACTTTATTGGAGGAGTAATACTTTAGCCCTATGAGAAACTATTATTTGCTAGCATGGAAATCAACAGTTATTCTCTCTGTAATTTAAAAATATAAATTATATTCAATGAAAAATTCAAACAACAACAACAAATCAATCAGAAATGATTCAAAATCTATCCAATTGGTTTTCAAGCTGGCAAGCATGTATTCACTAATGGTAAGGACCTAGACTCTTACGACTATGAGGTATTTTTACTTCTGGCTAAATGTGTTTGGGAAAACATGTATGTGTAGAAATATCTACATAATAAAAAATTCTATTTAAAAAAATTAAAAATACTTGTTTTAAAATCTGAGATGTTTAGCTTCTGAAATAAAACACTTTGGCAAACATATTCCTTCTTCATCTGAAAAGAATAAATGTAACCATCTATTGGTTTAAATTCGTTCTGTTGTACATGGGGTCGCTGCGAGTCAGGACCGACTGGATGGTACCTAATGACAAACACCACCATTGGTTTAAATACTGTGCCCTGCAAGATCATGAAAACTGGACAACAGTGTCTTCCATTGGGAATAATTATATTCACAGATGATCTGCTTCTTTAAGAAAATTCAGTGAACATCTTTTTAAATAAACCTATTTCATTCAGGTGAAAAAAATGTGACTATTTGAACTTCGTTTATTTAAACAGTAGTGTTAACTAATCGAATCAGTGTTTTCTCTTAAATAAGCTGGACTTCTTTGTAGATGTAAGAAACATTTTTAAACTCTGTTTATGGAATTGTTGGCATTTCGGCTCACAGAAGTTAGTTATTAAAGAGAATGACCTTTGAAAACATTTATAACATTTACTTCTTTTGCATCCAATTCTCCAATATATGGTAGACTTCGTGGAAACTTCTGTCTGGAAGAAATTAAACAGTTTATCTGTGGGAAAGAAACAGTGTCACCTTATTTGAAGCAATAATTTTTTTGAGTTTTTTTTCTCTTTTCACATTTTGTTTTTTTGTATCAGAGCTTTGACTATCTATTTATAAAAGTAGAGACAAACATGATGGCTTTATTTAGCTGTTCTTACTCTACAATAAATCAAATATATCATGTTAATTATAATTAATGGTAATATATATTAAAATTAGGGTTGCTATGAGTTGGAATCAACTCGATGGCAATGGGTTTGGTTTGGTTTTGGGTATGTATAAAAATTAGACCAAATCTACTGCCATCAAGTTGATTCTGACTCATAGCACTCTGTAGAACAGAGGGTTTCCAAGGCTTTAAATCTTTACAGAAGCACAATGCCATATCTTTCTCCCGCAGAGCCACTGGTGGGTGAAAACTGCCAACCTTTCAGTTAGCAGCCAAACTCTTCAACCACTGTGCCACCAGGGCTCCTAATAATAAGTATAATGATTATATAATATGGAATTAGAATTGACTGATAATAAATAATTAATATAATTGGTTCCATACTTCTTAAATATCCTTTTTGCTTGCTAACTGGGTTACTCTATCACCCTAATAAAGATGTGAATTTCTAAAGATGCATTTCTGAAGCTGATCAAACAATTAGATTATGATAGAAAATGAACAGTGAAAGCTATATGTTGATTGTTTTCTAGTGAAATATCCATAAATTGCTTGTATTATGCAAGTAAAGATTCATACACTAGAGATTTCCAAAATATCAAATAATTAAGACTGATATTATATAGCTATATATAGTAGGAGGAATTAATTACCACAGATAGCTATATAATATCAGTCTTAATTATTTGATATTTTGGAATTAATTGGAGCCCTAATGGCACAGTAGTTAAGAGCTATGGCTGCTAACCAGAAAGGTGGGCAGTTGGAATCCACCAGCCAGTCCTTGGAAACCCTGTGGGGAAGTTCTACTCTGTCCTATAGGGTCGCTATGAGTTGGAATCGACTTGACGGCAATGGGTTTGGGTTTGGGTTTTTATGGTACATATTTGATACAGAATATTGGATACAGGATACATTACAGAGAGGGACAGGCACGTCAGCATTCACATTGGGTGTAAAGAACTGAAAGTTATCATGAATCATTTTTCTCTTTCTGCTTTGGTGGTGTACACACAGATGTGTTTTATTCAAGAAACTTTGGATATAAGAAATCAACTCAAGGTAAATCAAATCAAAGTGAGGGAAGGAGAAAGTTTATAAGAACCCAACAGGTAATCTCACAGTTGGAATATCTGACATGCAGCCAGTCCTGATGATAACCAAACCAGTCCCCTTGACTTTCAGGGACCATATGGTCTCTCTGTTGGATTTCTCTCTGTAACCACAACTTCTCCACTTGCACAGAAGTCAACACAGCCACCATCCCCTTGTGCCTATCATTGGATATCACAGATCTGTCACTTACTGCACACTTTCAAGAGTGACAGCCTATTTCTCACAGGCTGGTCACTGGATCAATTAGCCTTGGGCCCGATCTTTGCTACTAGCCCAATCAGACACTGGGGATTGAAGCGCTGGGTACAATATGGTTCTTGAGACCTGCTCCTCCCAGGAGTTCGGGGCGGGGGGGGAATAATGTAAAAGATGTACTTTGTACAAAAATATCACACAAAAAGATTAGGAATATGAATTGAAAAGGTAAGCAAACCCACAGTGAAACAGCAGACTTCAAAGCAAAAAAGATATCAGCTCCATGGTACATATGGACCTGCAAAACTGGATGTGCTTAACTCCCCAGGCAGGGTTCACTGTGAACAAAAAACTCTTCAAACGTACAACCAAATGTAGCAATACAAACATGCACTTGGAAATATTATTTTTCTACCTACCTTAGATACACCCTCGTGGTGCAGTGGTTAAGAGCTCAGCTGCTAACCAAAAGGTAGGCAGTTCGAATCTACCAGGCACTGCTTGGAAACCCTATGGGGCAGTTCTCCTCTGTCCTATAGGGTTGCTATGAGTCAGAATTGACTGGATGGCAATAGGTTTGGTTTTGGGTTTTTAGATTCACCAACTTCAACCAGTCAGTCTTATGAAAACAACTTCGAGTGAGTATGATTCACTTTTCTTTTTCCTTATCCATCCTGTTTGGTTAATTTGGATATTTAGAAAAGTCTATGATAAGTTTGCAATCACAATGTACTAATTTGCAGTTACTTATAGCCTAAATACTTGGATGCAGAAGCTGGTATGCTTCCATATATCCTAAATGAGACTTTGTAATTGAAAATAATATTCTATCCAAGTAACGCAGCATATAAAAACACAGAATGCTATCACTTCCATTCAAAAATTCACCGCTGTTCAACAAAGAAAAGAACCATGTTAAGAGACTAAAGGCAGGGGACTCTGATAGGAAACATAGCAACTATTAATTTACTCTTGCAATGAGAAAATATTTTAGAGCAACAGATACACAGATGCTTTAATTCTTCTACGGAAGCGGACAGCCAAGAGTCCACCAAACTCATGCTCCTAGTTCCAGAGTGGAGTGGCTGTACATCCCAGGATTTAGGATCCCTGCTGTACCAAGTGACTAGCTCTTACCAATGGACCCTGCGTCTGCTGCACTCACAGTTAGAGTGATGTAATTGACAATGCATTTGCCAATGAGGCCTTAGAGGTTGGCAAAGCCTCAAGATAAAAGGAGCCTGGGTCCTTAGTCACTCCATGGAGGGAAAGCAGACCCCTGACCAGTACTCCCTTGTATGTGGCTATTGTGGGACAGACTGCTCTTTTCTTGAGTCATCGAAATTTTGGCGTTTATTTGTCACAGAAGCTATTGTTTCCTTAAATAGGAGACTTCCTTAAAACTGCAGGGTGTCAAGAACACAACATCAAACAGAATGATGGGAAAGTGCAATGTATTAGTGAGAAATGAAAGCTAAGCCTTACAGAGCTTCATTTATCTACCCGCCCAGAAAAAAAAAAAAAAAAAAAACTTAAATATGAGAACACAATCCTCAGGACTTTGCGGTCAAGTGACTAAAAGGTTGTTTGCTTGTTGTTCTTAAATATTTCATCATCTAAACCTACACCTAATTGAATAATCATGACTATTTATGGATCACGAAATATTTTTACTCATGGGAACTGCAATCTTATAATTTAGCATCATATAATGGCAAACAATATATAGCCTACGGAAACGCACTGTGGCTCTTACATTTCAGAAACCTGCAAGTCTGAATCATTTCTAGAAAACAGAGCCAAACTGGGAGATTGGGATTTGGCATTTCCTGATTTCCACCAAGCTGATCGAAAGCAAAGCTTTCTTTTGTGGGAGCTGACGCACAGTTTACATTCAGGGCATGCACTAATTCTGTTAAAAAAGAGTTTCAAGTGCAAATCAGGCCATTTCTGATGCCTTTTGAACATTTTAAATCAGGCCAGTTACAATTCCTTTCCAACATCTGACTGAACGTTCCAATTACATGGCCAGGTTTGTAAGAAGGTCAAGGCCATGGTTTACTTTCAGTGGCGCTCCGAGCAGCAACAATGAAAGGAGCAGTGTGTCCAGTACCTGATGCTGCTCATGCTGCCGGTCTCCGACCCCAGCTTGCATCGCTCCAGTTGGCTGGCGACGATTTGGCGTTCAGCCTCCAGCTCTCGGGTCAGTCTTTCAAACTGTAATTCCTGAAATAAAACCACAGGAAAGATTAATTCTATCATCTACATGAAAAGTAGAATTCAGACCAAAATGATAGAGCAGTCAAAAGGGAAAAAGTATGATTGCCGAGATGTCCCCTTGATGAAATAGAGGCTATTGGTAAGAAATAAAATAGACCCGAAGTTCAGAAAGACCAGGCTATGTGACCTTAGTTATTCCAAGTATCAGTTTCATCATCTCTAGAATGGGGTTGAAGATACATATTTCATAGGGTGGAAGTGAGGATTAAATGAAAAACTGTAGATGAAAATCTAGCCAGTGCTATGTTTAGTCAGTGCTATAGTCAGCACCCAAGAGAAGTTAACACTTCTGGCACCATAAGTGTAACACTTAATGAAGAAATAATTCATTTTTATTATCACTTGGAGTATTATGTTATACCCTACTGGTCTTCTAGCTGGCTCTCTCTGTATTTTATACATATACACGGAGCCCTGGCAGTGGAATGGTTAAGTAATCGGCTATTAACCAAAAGTTTAACAGTTCAAACCTACCAGCTGCTTCTCAGGAGAAAAGACCCGGTGATCTGCTCCCATAAAGATTACAGGAGACTAGGAAACCCTATGAGGCAGTTCTACTCTGTCCCCATCACTATGAGTCAGAACTGACACAACAGCACACGACAACAACTATATATATAAAATACTATATTTACTTTGGTCTTCATATTACTTACATATTATATATATAAGAAACTAATACTTCAAGTCCACTTCTTATAATTTAAATTACTGCATAATAACAATGATACTGATTCTATGCAGTCTAATTACTAAGTGAATAATCCTGAAGATATTTGATATGTTGTTGCTGTTGCTGGGTGTCGTCAAGTCGATTCCAACTCACGGCGACCCCATGTGTTAGAACAGAACTGCCCCATAGGGTTTCCTAGGCTGTGCAGATCGCCAAGTATTTCTCCCCCCAGAGCTGCTGGGTAGGTTCTATCCACCAACCTATTAGCTGCCTAGTGCTTAACCATTGTGACACCAGGGTTCTTTGTACTGGATATACCACCTTAAAAAACAGGTAATTAATCTAAAGAAGATACATTACAAAGCTGCCTAAAATCCCGTTAAAGGATTAACTTTAGCGAAAAATGATTCAATCACAACTTCAAGGAACCCAACTGTTCCCACTACAGGAATTATTTTTGTACTATATGTTAGTCCACACACATAAGTTTTATTTTGTTTTTAATATGTGTAACTATAAGGAAACAAGTACTTTTAAAATTTCAGAAAAATTTAATGCAATGTCTCATGTAACTTGTTAAAAAAATTATATACACAGTTCTGTTTTTGGAATGAGAAAACAAGAATGCTTTTTCAAGCTGAAAAACAGAGAAGGGGTCAGTTTTGGAGAACTCACATTGACTAAAACTCTTAAAGTAGCAGGGATTTGTTTTTTCCAGAAAAGATAAAACCAGGTGTCATCGAGCTGATTCCAACCAACAGGGTTATCTGCTACTCTGGGACACTCTTGGGCAAGAGCTTTAAAAAGCAAACTTCGATGTGCTCTCTGTGTATATTAAAAATACCCTAATTCTTCTCCATAAAAGCAGATATTTTTTTTTAATGTTGACCTTTTTATGGGAATCTAAGAAAGAACACTTTGCTAATGAGAGGTCAACTAATCCCTTTAGGGGGCTAAACTGAGGTAGCGTGTGGTTTTTAACCGCAAATATTTATTTTTAGATACCATGAATGACATCAAGCAACACTTGGAAGGAGTGACTACCAAGACTTCTACCAACTGCACTGTGAGCGTCTAATCCCTCCCTCTTTCTCCAAGAAAGTTTTGCCTTGCTTCATTTGGCAGATCTTTTCCACAAAAATACCTAAGTTCTCAAAGACTTTTTCATTTCCAGGCTTTATCCTATGGTTTATCTGAATGTGTCTGTATAACAGAAAAATACTATATTTAATAACACACGTGTTATATGTTGCACAACCTGTTCACGCATTATTTTCCTAAGTGCTCCATGCACGTTATATGTGTGGGCATGTTATTTGGGAAAAAATACAGTACCTCATATATTTGAGTGAATAGCTCCTTAAAAACATAATATTTAAATATCACACAGAACTCACCACAGGCACAATGAAATTCATATTCTGAAAACGCATAAAAGAGTAATTGAATTTTTGAGAGAGTAATTCTTCCTAAAAAATTCTGGGGAAGAGCTGCCTCCTCAAAGTAGAGTCAACCTTAACGATGTGGATTGATTCAAACTTCCAGGACTTTCATTTGCTGATGTGGCACAACTCAAAATGAGAAGAAAGAGCTGCAAACATCCATTAAAAATCAGAAGGCAGAATGTACAAAGTATGAATCTAGGAAAATCAGAAATCATCAGAACTGAAATGAGATGCATAAACATCAATATCCTAAGCATTAGTGAGCTGAAATGGACTGGTACTGGCCATTTTGAATTGGACAATCATAGGGGTTACTAAGCCGAGAATGACAACTTGAAGAGGAATGGCGTTGTACTCATCATCAAAAAGAACATTTCAGGGTCTATCCTGTAGTATAACACTGTCAGTGACAGGATAATATCCATACACCTACAAGGAAGACCAGTTAATACCACTATTACTCAAATTTACGCACCAACCACTGAGGCCATAGATGAAGAAATTGAAGACTTTTTACCAATTTTTGCAGTCTGAAATTGATTAAACATGTAATCAGGATGCACTGATAATACTGGTGATTGCAATGCGAAAGTTGAAAACAAAGAAGAAGGAGCGGTAGTTGGAAAAAACAGTCTTGGTGATAGAAATAATGCCGGAGATCGCATAACAGAATTTTGCAAGACCAACGACTGACTTCTTCATTGCAAATACCTTTTTTCACCAACATAAACGGCAATTATACACATGGACCTTGCCAGATGGAATACACAGGAATGAAATTGACTACATCTGTGGAAAGAGACGATGTAAAAGCTCAATATCATCAGTCAGAACAAGGCCAGGGGCCCAATGCAGAACAGATCATCAATTGCTCACATGAAAGTTCAAGTTGAAACTGAAGAAAATTAGAACAAGTCCACGAGAGGCATATCCCACCTGAATTCAGAGATCATCTCAAGAATTTAACGCATTGAACACTAATGACCGAAGATGAGTTGTGGAATGACATCAAGGACATTATACATGAAATAAGCAAGAGGTCATTAAAAAGACAGGAAAGAAAGAAAAGACCAAAATGGATGTCAGAAGACATGCTGAAACTTGCTCTTGTATGTTGAGTAGCTAAAGCAAAACAAGGAAATGATGAAGTAAAAGGAATGAACAGAAGATTTCAAAAGGCGGCTCAAGAAGACAAAGTATTATAATGACACGTGCAAAGAGCTGGAGACAGAAAACCAAAAAGGAAGAATACGCTCGGCATTTCTCAAGCTGAAAGAACTGAAGTAAAAATTCAAACCTCAAGTTGCAATAGTGAAGAATTCTACGGGGAAAATATTAAATGACGCAGGAAGCATCAAAAGAAGATGGAAGGAATACACAGAGTCATTATACCAAAAAGAACTGGTTGACATTCAAACATTTCAGGAGGTAGTATATGATCAGGAACAGATGCACTGAAGGAAGAAGTCCAAGCTGCACTGAAGGCACTGGCGAGTAACAAGGCTCCAGGAATTGCTGGAATATCTATTAAGATGTTTCAACAAACCGATGCAGTGCTGAAGTGCTCACTCGTCTATGCCAAGAAATTTGGAAGACAGCTACCTGGCCAATCAACTGGAAGAGATCCATATTTATTTCTATTCCCAAGAAAGGTGATCCAACTGAATGTGGAAATTATCAAACAATATCCTTAATATCACACGCAAGTAAAATTTTGCTGAAGATCATTCCAAAGAGGCTGCAGCAGTATATCGACACGAAACGGTCAGAAATTCAAGCCAGATTCAGAAGAGGACGTGGAAGGGATATCGTTGCTGATGTCAGATGGATCCTGGCTGAAAGCAGAGAATACCATAAAGATGTTTACCTGTGTTTTATTGACTATGCAAAGGCATTCGATTGTGTGGATCATAACAAATTATGGATAACACTGTGAAGAATGTGACTTCCAGAACATTTAATTGTGCTTATGAGGAACCTGTAACCAGATCAAGAGGCAGTCATTCAAACAGAAAAAGGGGATACTGGGTGGTTTCAAGTCAGGAAAAGTGTGTGTCAGGGTTGTATCCTTTCACTATATCTATTCAATCTGTATGCAGAGCAAATAAACCCAGAAGCTGGACTCTATGAAGAAGAAGGAGGCATCAAGATCGGAGGAAGATGCATTAACAACCTGGGTTATGCAGATGACACAACCTTGCTTGCTGAAAGTGAAGAGGACTTGAAGCAATTACTGATGAAGATTAAACACCACAGCTTTCAGTATGGATTACACCTCAACATAAAGAAAACACAAATCCCCACAACTGGACCAATACACAAAATCACGATCAACAGAGAAAAGATTGAAGTTGTCAAGGATTTCATTTTCCTTTGATCCACAATCAACACCCAAGGAAGCAGCAGTCAAGAAATCAAAAGACGCATTTCATTGGGCGAATCTGCCACAAGAGACCTCTTGAAAGCGTTGAAAAGCAAAGATGTCATCTTGAAGACTAAGGTGCACGTGAATCATGCCTTGGTGTTTTCAATCGCCTCATATGCATGTGAAAGCCAGACAATGAATAAGGAAGACCAAAGAAGAATTGATGCCTTTGAATTGTGGTGTTGGCAGAGCATACTGAATACACCATGGACTGACAAAAGAATGAACAAATACCAGTCCATTTCAGCTCATGAATGCCTAGAATATCGATGTTTATGCATTCTACTTCATTTTTGACTATTTCCAATTTTCCTAGATTTATACTTTGTACATTCCATGTTCCAATTATTAATGGATGTTTGCAGCTGTTTCTTCTCATTTTGAATCATGCCACATCAGCAAA